TGATTTCAGTCCCGCTTCAAAACACATTTTTAAGTGTTAAACGATTACGTGTAGTGTGTAAACCACTGTATACTTCGAAAGTAAGTGACTGCATATACTTCCTAGTGCATATCAATTTGAAAACTGTTCATAATCCGCAATAACTTTTGATTATTCATAAACATTCAAATCTAACCTTAACAAGTGATTCCAACTGTTCCGAACTGATAACGATGTCCCCGCCCTGTCACGCGTGCCACAGAGCAATCTCACCTGAGGACACCAGCAAACTAATTTGTTCAGTATGCTCCACTCAATGGCACGGTGTGTGTGCTCGCCCACAGCCTAGCAACCTTGGAAATTACGCGCTGAAAACTTGGAAATGCGAAAAATGCTGTCCGATCGCCCCACCCGATACCCCAGACATCAATTCCGAACGATTCAATGCTATAATGGCTCAATTTGCACTAATTAACAACGCTATCTCCTCTTGCAATGATCAAATAAAAGATCTAAGGGTGCTGATCGCAGATCAGTCAAAAACAATTAACACTTGCGTAGCTGACATTGCAAGTATTCGTGAAGACTTCACTTGTATACATAGAAAAGTTAGCGATCTAGAAAACAACTTCAGATGCAGTACCCCCGCTGATGAAATACATGCTGAAATTTCTGAGCGGCTCAAACGCGGGAAGAATATTCTGATAATGGGATTACAGGAAGATTCAAGTGCCAACGACTTTTCTTCCGCGAAACGTATTATCGACGATATACCAGTCGATAGAGATATTCCTATAATATCTGTAATGAGACTTGGGAAACAACGCACGGACGGGAAACCACGCCCGTTGAAACTGGTGCTTAACTCACCTGATGATGCACTTACAATACTAAAAAACAAACCCAAAACTTCCCATTCTAATATTTCCATCAAATCTGACTCAACTCCGTCTCAATCTAAGCATATGTCTGAACTAAGGAAAGAACTGGAGCGTAGAATTCAAGAAGGGGAAAATAACATCACTATAAAATACGTCAGAGGAACCCCGAAAATTGTATGTTTGTCAGATGAAAGAACGAAGCGAACTCGTGAAGAAGAAGATTCTCCAAAACGTGATCAAGGGGTTAAATTCCTGAAACCAGCTGGAAAAAAATAGCAACGAACTAAAATATTGTTTTGGAATTGTCAGGGATACACGAATCTAGAGGAAACTGTGAAACAAATTACTGACTTTGATGTACTTTGCCTGAGTGAAACATGGTTGACTCATAAACTTGAACGTGCTCCTGGTTTTTTATCATCTTATGCAGTAATCAGCTCCCCAGCAATTAGAGAAAAATCTTTCGGTCGTCCTAGTGGGGGGCTATGCATTTTTTTCAAAGACTATTTTGCATTGACTATATTAGATGTCTCCCCCTGGTGGATATTTGTTCTTTTGACCCATTGTGATCACAAGTACATAATATGTAGTGTATATTTTAAACCCAGTCTCGATATAGTTACATTGTTAGACATGTTTCAAGTATCATTAACTAATATTATTGAAGAACATTTTGACGCTCCCATTATCATTGGGGGGGACTTCAACTGTCGTGTAGCTGAATTGGGCACAACACCAGTTGAGTTACTTGAAAATGTCAATTTATATGAACATAGACAGAGCTGCGACAAAACCTTGAACGCGAGAGGGCGTAATGTTCTCGAATTCATGTATTCTAATTCATTCAGTTTACTGAATGGCAGGAGCTCTTTGGATAGTCCTGCACAATATACCCACGTGAGTACCCAAGGAAAAAGCACCATTGATTTAGCTTGGATACACAACTCGTTCCTCCCTGACGTACACAATTTTGAAGTTCTTAATGAATTCAGTATTTCAGACCACTTCCCCATTTGCATATATATGAAAAACTTGACTGAATATTCATACGAAAACCCTACATGCGCTACACGAAATACAATGAAAGTATTGACATGGAATAATAACCTCTCTAGAGAGTATAAAGTTTACATGCGTCAGTCAGGAAGAGTTGTGTTTCAACCGAATATTCAGGAATCTTATAATAATTTTTGTCTGGCAATCTCAGAAACCGCTCATATACTCAAACTCACACGGCAGGTGACTACCTCAAAAAAAAAACGGCATAATAATAAACCATGGTTCGATATTGACTGTAACAATCTGAAAAAGCAAGTAAGCAAAGATCTCAAATTATGCAAAAAGAATAACTTTCAACATCACTATAAAACTCGATTTCTGGAATCAAAAAAAAATTACCGAAAATTACTCAAGCTCAAGAAACATAACCATGAAATGGAAATCCTAACAACTTTGTCACACACAAGAGAATCAAAAACATTTTGGCAAACCATCAAACAATTTCGTAACTCTTCCCCGCATACGAACTTGCCTATAGATGTGTGGGAGAATTTTTTTTGTAGCATTTACCGCCCGAGAGTAATTGAAAACATCTCTTTTTTTGGTGTGCGCGATCCAATTCTTGATTGCCCTATTACATTAAACGAAATCTACTTTGTATTAAATAAATGCAAAAATGGCAAGTCGCCGGGCACCGACCAAATTTCATACGAATTTCTGAAAAACCTTCCCCAAAATTGGGTTATCTTTTTAACAAGTCTATTCAACAGAATATTAGACACTCACATTATCCCTGCCACCTGGAGTGAAATGACGCTAACAATGCTTCACAAAAAAGGGCCCACGGAAAATCCTCTCAACTACAGAGGAATTGCACTCATAAACTGTCCCGCGAAACTTTTTACACAAATTTTACTTAATCGTCTCACACTTTGGGCAGAAAATAGTAGTGTTTTACCGGAATCTCAGTCGGGTTTTCGGAAAAACCGAGGTTGTATAGATAACGTCTTTACGCTGAGCAGCGTCATTCAACTCCAACTAAGACTAAAAAAACGTAAGGTATTCGCGGCTTTCATTGACTTCCAGCGGGCATTTGATTCAGTGAATCATTCTTTACTTTGGCATAAATTGTTTGCATCCGGTTTCAGCTCCAATATTTTAAACATTCTGAAAAATATGTATGATACAACGACTATTAAAATAAAAGCGCGAGAAGGTTACACAAAACCTTTCGACGTTACCTCTGGAGTTCTTCAGGGGGAGTCTCTCAGTCCCTTGCTCTTTGCTATTTTCATCGCGGATATTGAGGAGTTTTTCCGTAGCAGGGGTACCATAGGCCTGAATATCGATAACACAACGGACTTGCTGTTGTTGCTATATGCTGACGATTTGGTCATTCTTGCTGATTCCGAAATAGATTTACAAAAAAAACTGAAGATCCTTGATGAATACACAGCTGTTAACCTACTCACGATTAATATCAAGAAATCTAAAGTTATCTGTTTCTCGAGAGGCGGCTTTCAGCGCCAAAACTTTAAATTTCGTCTGAATGGCAATACCCTTGATCTAGTGAATAATTATGTTTACTTGGGTGTGCAGTTTGTTGCATCCTCTCTTTTCAGAGAGATGGCACTCTTTACTGCTGACAAATCAAAACAAGCCATCGGCGCTATACTTCCATTACTCTCTAAATCAAAAATGGATCTCTGGCGACCCAGAATAAAATTATTCGAAGCTATGGTTCTTAGCGTCATGTCTAACTGTCTACCAGTCTGGGGCCTCAGATATGTTGATATCTTAGAGAGGGTTCAACTCATGTTTTTCAAACGCCTCCTTCTCCTCCCAAATAACACCCCAGACTATATAGTTAGATTAGAAACCGGGCGCGTGAAAATAGCTTTTAATATTCTCAAAGCAACATTGAACGGGCTAATCAAAATGTTCAGTATGAATGATTCCAGACTGCCAAAGATATGTTTTTTGCGACAATTAGAATTATCTAGTAGCGATGCCAGATATAATTGGGCCAAACAAGTGTCACAAATTTTGGAGTCGATCAGTCTCTGAACCCATGGCGAACATCAACGGGGCTTATCTTAAGCGCAACAAACACAAAATATTAGCACAGTTCCTTGATAAACTTCACCAAGAGGATATTGCCTTAGCCACCAACTCTCACTTTATGTCTTTCCACACGCACTTTACCCTCAACAAACAGCCAAACAGTTACCTTCTTCTCAAAATGCCAATTCAAATAACAAGAACTATCGCCCAGCTGAGAATGTGCAATAATTACGTAATCAGATTCACGCTGAATGGTTGCACTTATCGTATCGACCCACGCGATGATTGTACTGTTTGCAACCAAAACAAGCTCGAAACAATTCAACACATCCTGTTCGAATGCCCCATATATTCCACGATGAAGCCTCCGAATTCTAATCATCTTCTTGACTTTAACTCCTTAATATGTGCCCTCGAGAATATTACGCCTTCCCTTGCAAAAACTATAGCAAGTTACATTTGGAACATCTTGAAACTGCGAGCTTTCATTTTAAATGAATAATTTCATATAGGTTACAGAAAATCAGGATATTAATTCTACTAAAATTGTGTGCTTATCTTGAATATTCTCACTTTTTTTTTTTTTTTCTCTCATTTTGTCAGTTTGTTTTTCATATCTAGCCGTCTAATATTTCTTTGTAAGCATAACTATTTGTAAACAGCCTATCGACACATAACATGAACCCCTTGTTGTAAAACGGTAATGTTTTAAGAAACAATAAATATATTATTATTATTATTATTATCAATGTATTGCTTTATATAAATATATATCCATTTTTGTATGTTCATAATTCATCTGAGAATATTCCTTTTCAACACTTTATATTTCATATTGTACTTTTTCTTTTTCAATACATACAAACTGAATCTCGCCCTAACCATAAAATAACAAGATGTAAGTATATATTCCATCAACTGGTGATAAAGACGTTCATTATTATTATTATTATTATCTAGGGCAATCAGCAGAAATTTGTTGGATAGGTACGAAATGTAAACAGTTCCGTCTCCCCTCTTTTTATATGTCTTTGGATAATTCATTTGGTTCTACATTTGAATCGTCATCCGCTACAGGTGTTCGTGGGCTCGCCCTGTATGACGGTGAGGTCGGAGCTGCCTCTGCCGCCGATCGTGTCCCGAGACGAGGCGGAGAATGCCGAGTTGGAGGTGCCGTTTTTCCGGTTGGATCCGAGAGCGGTTGGGAACAAGACCGAGTTCAGACATATAGCTAATACACCCGGTATGCATCCTTCTTTTTCTGGATTTTTTTTGCACTTTTTTTAAGTATATCAAATTTTTTGTCGATCTCGACAAAAAATCACATTTACCTACAACCACTAAAAGTAGGCAAGACAGTGTTGTTCCTAGGTCTAACTTTTTCGTACCAGATTTCCTTGGAAAAAGTAAACAGATTTGAATCGAAAGGTAATAGATTGGAAAAGTCTGACATTCTAAATGTTATTCTCGTCGAACTATCGCACGGATTAGACATTTATGACAGGAATGAGGCAAAAGTAACATAGAATTGTTGACATGAATATAGAACGAAGACTGTGACATTCGCGAGATTCACGAAGTGGGCGACATCTAGGTTATAGAGTAAGTGCATAGACTACATTGCATTCAGCTTGCTGTAGCTGTAGTCAAACTTGTCAATGACATGAAGTGTTGGCACTGTTGGTAGTAATGATGGTTGAGTTGGTTAATTTTTTCACATCATTACATTTTTATTAGCTTAGTGAAGAGTGAACGGGTAAAAAATTGGAGATAGTTCAAACAATTCAAACTAATTATGACCAGCAAATCAATTGACATATAAAAGAACAGCTACAACATGTTTACAATACCCAGATTGTCCTGCTTTGCATGAACAAATACAAATCCATTGTTCTACAGGAGTTCATCTGGACCCCAACTTCAATTTTACTTCATATGTGGAAGATTTCATCGCCGAAGTTTGTAGACAAAGTGCAAAAATGTGCCTCTTGTTGAAGTCTTCTGCCTCACACAAAATCACATGATTAGCACGGAGAACTGCTCCTCCCTAAACTACTGGTCGGCTTTTTCCGTCTAAATAGAGCAAAATATCTGCCAAAAGAACATCTACCAACAGGCATTATTAGCGTTTTCGATCGAATATTGACAATTAATGTCAAGAAATTTAAAAACATCACTCTTTTCAGTACACAGTACACAAGCTAATGGCACTTATGAGATTGAGTCAATTGACTGTTTGTTTTCCCCCAGTTTTGACGTGGCTTTGACATGGAACGATGAAAACCGAGTGCCAACTAGTAACATTGATTCCCGCGAATAGACTCATAGAGCAGAACATAATCATTCGCTGCATACAGAAAATAGTAATAGGTCCATGACAAATCGTAATAACGTAACAACTTCCGTGAAATAGTAATAGATTACAAAAGAAATGACAAGAACAACACTGCCAAGAACACACGAGATACAGCCTCAGTAAGTAGCTCTTCACGCACAGTATCTGTATCTCGAAAACTATTTGCCGCACAGGTTTCGGAAAAAAATATTTATAATAAAAGTGGACAAGAAAAATCTCTGGAAATTATTTTCAAGTTTCCAGGACAGACCCTAGAGGGCGTAATTGCATTCGCCAGTTTAATAAACGGGTTTTTATGTAAATTATCAAAAACACTTTTTTTCATGTTCTCGAGTTGATTTCCAATCATTTCGATAGAAAAATAAAAATAAAAGAGGGAGGGAAGGATGAATAGAACTTTGAAAAAACTTTTATTACTACAGTTTGGTGTAATGGAATTCAACGATATTGATTTCATTATGAAGGGTTTTGTTGGTTCTTCCAGATGAATCATGAATCAAGTCGATTTGAATCCTGTGGCGGCCGCTAGATGGCATCGTTTTAAAAATCAGTCAATTTTCCATTTTTTTCGAAAATTTCAAATGGAACCATATATTCATTCTACTCTATGTACTCTATATGGAAGGAGAGCAAACGAGAAGGAAAATGGTGAAAACCGCGAATTGATACCTCTTGAGGAACCGGTGAAATACTCGAAATAATATTATGAAAATATTCACAACAGGAATCTAACTTCAATGATCGTAATCAGAAATATCCTGTATCTATGGAATTATGATTTCAATAATTACTTTATTTTGGTTTCACAAACTGCTGTTATATCTCACAATAGTGAAGGAGACTCTTAGTAATGACATAGCTAATTTGAATGAAAGAAACGTCGAAATATAATTGAAGTTCTATTGGAAGTTTTCACTGTTCATTGTGGATTGCTTATTTGTCAAAATGCCGATAACGAATGAGGAGGCATTTGACATGCTAACAGTTCAAATTTTAATACTATTCCGAGTATTTCTCCGGTTCTTCAAGAGGTATCAACTCGCGGTTTTCACCATTTTTCTTCTCGTTTACTCAACTTTCCTATCATAGCAGGAAAAATATATGGTTCCATATGAAATTCTCGAAAAAAAATGGCGAATCGGCTGATTTTTCAAACGATGCCATCTAGCGGCCACCACGGGGTTTAAATCGACTTGATTCGTGATTTATCGGGAAGATCTGAAAAAACCCTTCATAATGACACCAAACTGTTGTAATAAGAGTTTTTCCAGAGTACTATTCATCCTTCCCTCACTCTTTTAATTGAAGAGCTAGCGCAATTTTTTTTGATCGAAATGATTGGAAGTCAACTAGAGAACATGGAAAAAGTGTTTCTGATATGTCTTGATATATCAAATTTTCATAAAAACCCGTTTTTTTAAGTTGGTCAATGCAATTATGCCCTCTAGCGGCTGCCCTGGAAACTTGAAAATAATTTCAAGAGTTTTTTCTTGGCCAATTTTATCATATTTTTTTCCGTAATGTGCGGCAAATAGTTTCCGAGATACAGCCGGCGTCCTTTCTTAGTGGTACACCCGGTACTATATGGCAGTAGGTAAAGTATAGTACATAATGCGTGTTGTAAAGCAATTACGCACTCGCCGCTTTGCGGCTACGTTCGTAACTTTTCCATTCGTGCGTAATATGATTCTCACAACACATATTACGTAATATACCGACTTCTCGTCAGCAGACACTAACTTTTCATCAGCAAACACTTTTCGTCTGCTGCAGGGTTGCCAGTTCTACTGAATTTTCAGTATATCTCCTGATTTGCATATGATCTACTGAAATATTTCATAACCTACTGAGAAATATTTTGCCACTTATTCATCCTATTTTATTATTAATCTTCAGTTAATCACATACACTATAAATTACATGATATTTTGGCATGCTCTCTTTGAACTGATTTTACAAAATAAGTAATTTATTTATACAGGGTGTTTCACATAACAACCGACATAGGGCAGGGGCATGTAGGGGGTCCCAAAATATGGCAATTTAAGTTGCTTCCATAGCATAGCACTAACAGCATGTCAACTTGCTCGTTAAAAGAAAACTTCCCGTTCATTTCAAAAATACTCAAACAACAATTACTTAATTGAACAACTCACTTGCCTCATCGTCAAGTTTGACGTTTATTTTCATAGCCAACTTTTGAATTTTCGATGATTTTAAATAACACACCTAGAGCGCGCGTTTTCAGTTATTCGAGTTTTTGATGAAAATGATGAGGTTTTTCGAAAAAATACTAGAGTAAGAAAAGTTTTAGAATTGAATTGCTAACAAAACAAAGCAAAGATTTTTGAAATCCATCAAGTGTTAACAAAATTATGTTGAATATTAATGGTGCGCCACCCGGTATACCCCCTTTACAATTTTCAATTGAACTCTAGTTACTGTCAAGTAACGCCCTAAATACATCCACAAAGTGTACAAAATTTGGTTGCTTCAAGTTCAAGAATAACGGAGATATTGATTTTTTTCAAAATTTATAACTTCACTTTCAAAGCCTATATCTCCTTAGGGAAGCAACTTGGTATAGAGGTAAGTTGCGTTAAATTGCCATATTTTGGGACCCCCTACATGCCCCTGCTCTATGTCGGTTCTTATGTGAATCACCCTGTATAGAGAGAAGTGCACAAAAAACGGCCAGGATTTTAACTTTTGAATAATTCTAGATAGGGTTCTGAAAATTGGAAGGTAGCAATTATACCAAATTGTTCATCAATTGATAAAACCATTTTTCTTCTATCATTTTAAGTTTCATCGGAAACGACCCCACTTTCGATTTTTAAATGGGACAGCCTGTATTGTATTCCATAATCGGTTAGGGATTATCATGACGAATTCAACGATAACGGGTTTGATAGGGTTATATCAAACAATTACAAAGATATTTGCGTTCGAAGTTTCCATATGCTCAATGGGTGTGACTTCGCAATATCAAAACTTCTTTCTCTGTCCGTTACCATCGAGATTAGAAGGCCAGCAGACTCTGACGTAAACAGCTCGTGACGTCACCTAAGAGAGGCCAGTGTTTTACCGCTTGTCGACTAACGCGTCAGTTCGTGTTGATTCATCGGTGATTCACGTATGTTTTTGAAGCGGTCCCGAATTCTTTTGTTGTTTATTCATCAAAATAATTGGCGGAAAAATTACTTTTTTGTGAAATATTTTGTGTTGTGATAGGCGAAATAACAATGCCTTTCAAGTGTTGTGTTCCCTTTTGTCGGGGGAATTATGTGGGTGTTCCAAAAGTTCATGCTCTTAGTTTCCAGTTCGACAAGGAACTATTGAAAAAGTGGGTATATGCAATTCACCGCGAGGATTTTACTCCATCTAAGTACAGTAGTAAAATGATGAATTAATAATAGAAGACAATTACTCTCTCATAAAAAGTATGAGTAGAGGAAAAAGAGAAAAGCTTTGATTGTGCAGTTAGTTTTGTATTCGTATTGTTACGTTATTCGGGTGCAGAAGCGAACACGACACTATTTATTTTCGAACTGATTTATTTGAACTATAGAAACACTAATTTATAACGAACTTAGAACTACTATTTATGTAAAACGATTTATAACACGCGGTATATAACTGTCTCTCTGACACTCGCTGCTCTACCATTCACGGCAGTTATTCGGCCGTTTATATATGAGATAACTAGACAGGCTTTGGTTCGAGAACCTTCTCGAATGATTTTCCGTCTCCTTCTTTTTGTTCTAGAAGCTTCTTAGAACAAACCTCTCTCTCTAATTGTTCCATCGATTGTTTCCAGAACATTCCAGAATCTTCTGTGACGTTATCTGTCACCGCGGCATATATTGAGTGTTCGGAAATATGCT